TCTTGTGTAGGAAGCAGCCTTCCCAAACCACATCCCCAAACCTCTTGCTCTGCTGTTTGAAGACTGAGATGCCATTTAATAATTTTGCAATATTTGCCAGCAATCTCACTTGATAAATAAACAGTTACACATTCCTCACCCAGGGACAAATGTTGCCGCCTCCTCCATGGATGCCAGGGTCATTCCATGCAGCAAAACTGATGTAGTTCTATTGTGCAAAGTATGGGGCATGATTTGGGTGGGCCATTGGACAGGGGATGTGAACCCATTGCATGTGGTGGAGTTCAGTCATATTTCCTCATGCAGACTTCTTATCTAATCTAAAACTATGCAAGGTGGAAGTGGATCAATATCTGGTTTCATATATCATAGAGTTTAAGGCCAGAAAGTACCATTAATCACCTCATCTGACTCTCTGTGTATCACAGGCTATTAAGTTTCACCCAGTTATCTCTGTACTGAGCCCAATAAATTATTTGACTAAAGCATGCCTTCCAGAAGGGAATCCAGTCTTGATTCGAGGACATCAAGAGATGGAGAATCCACCATTCCCTTTGGATGTTTGTTCCTGTAGTTGATCACTCTCACTGTTAAAAATTTATGCCTAGTTTCTAATTTGAATTTGGTCTGGCTTCAGCTTCCAGCTACTGGTTCTTGATATGTCTTTCTCTGCTAGACTGAAGAGCCCTTTAGTACCTGGTTTGTTATCCTGGATACCTTTGCTAAATTCCAACCCAGGTAATTGTTTTGTCTTGAAAAATTCTTACTGCAACTATGTATTTGCAATCGGTTAGTTAAAAGGAAAACTCGAAATCTATTAAGTTAAAGAAAAGACAGAGAGAGAGGATGCTAAAAGTAATTTCACATGCTCCTGAGTCCCTCTTCCTGCCATTTTTTGGGGGTTTTACAATCATATTTTCCAATTTAAAAATATTTTTCTCTTCTCTTCTGCTGTTGGAAAGACTCACACAAATAATAGGGGAAACTAAGTAAGGCCCCAATCCTGCAAATTTATGTATGTGCTTAATTTTAGGCTTTGACTTCAATGGGAGTATTCCTGTAAGTTAAATTAAGCACAGGCTTTAAGTTAAGTGCTATGCTGGATCCAGGCCTCAATGTAGGGACACTGAAAGTGATTGCCCACAAAGTACAAAATCTGAAAAGAAAAAAAAGAAAAGAAGAAAAAAATACCCTAATCTCTTTCAGGTATAGTAATCTTCAGGGTAACATATAATTTAGTAAATAAACAATTTCAAACAGAATTGTGATTAAAAGTTGACTGTGACCCTTTACATTTGCAAACCACTTTAGGTCCTGGAGGATGAAAGATACTGTAGAAAAAAAAATTATGATTAGAATTTTTTTTGGGGTGTTCAAAATGAATTATTTGATAGGGAACAATGTGCCAATTGGGAAAATAATTCCCCTCCTTCCTTTAATTTTTTAAGTGCCACTTTAGCACTTAAAAAAAAAAAACTCTAGACCTCTGTCTTAGCACAAGTTATATACTACACCTCTACCTTGATATAACACGATCCGATAGAACATGAATTCGGATATAACGCGGTAAAGCAGCACTCCGGGGGGGCGGGGCTGCACACTCCGGCAGATCAAAGCAAGTTCGATATAACACGGTTTCACCTATAACGCAGTAAGATTTTTTCGCTCCCGAGGACAGTGTTATATCGGGGTAGAGGTGTACTTCGCATTTTTTACAGTTTGTTTAACAAGGCTCATGCATGGAACATTCACATTAGTACTAATTTCAGCTATGGAAAGGGCAATGATTTATTAGGCAAATGCGAGCAGCAAGGACTAGCTAGTTGTGTGAGAACACAAGGCAAAAGGGAACGTGTGTAAAGGCAGTTTGCTCCTTTGGCATGTCCCAAAGCACAAGATGGATGGAACCAATGATAGACCCGAGAGATTAACACTTCAGTATAGATTATACACACAAATGGTTGCCTCTACTGCAGTCCTTGAAATAACATCAATACCAACTATGCTCCTATGTGGGATAAACTGAACTTCGCACAACTATTAAGTTATAGTGAAAAAAAATGTCTTTACATGAAACTTGTCACTTTAAATCATGACTTGATGATATCTTAACTCACAAAATTCATATTGAGTCAGGATATAATGTTACAGTACATTGGAACTATCTTTGCCCTGTGAGCCAGGACTCAAAAGGCGGTAGGTAAGCTTTAAGCAGTAATCTCAGCATACCAAAAGAATTCAACACATATATTCTGATAAGAAGAAGAAGAAGTCAACAGAAGGTTTTTATACATCAGACAGTCAAATTTCAAGAAGGACAGTTGTCTTCAACAGCAGCTGTGTAAATTAATGCTGTTAGTATAGCAAAATTGTAAAATAATGCCCTTCTCCTTTGAGTATTACATAATAATTATGCAACCTTTTTAGGGCCCTTGGCATTTTACTATTACTGTCCTTAATAAGAGGCACTATTATAACCCTCCAAGTAGTTCTATATATAAAATTCCAAGATGTTCTTAAGCAGCCATATTTTGGGTAGCCTAGGGAGTAGTGTAGGGAAAAGGTAGACTATAGGGTCCACAGAGGAGAAAGTTTACTGTACTCAAGGAGAGAGATGACAAAGGACTTGTCCAGTAATCTTTTCAGTAGGAATGGAGAGGAAACAATGGATTAAATAGTCAAACACTCTGATACAGCCTAATCCTGTGAGGTGATATACAACCCTGCTGGGGCACTGAGCTCCTTTAACTTGCACTATAGTGAGAATTTAGGATGCTCAGCACTTAGCAGGTTTGGGCCCATAGTAAAGTTTTTATAATTTATATACTTTTATATATTTGTATTTTGACATTAGAGATGGGCCCCGAACTGATATGAATCCACCTTAATTATGAGGAATTTCAAATCCTGATGCAATCCAAACAACATATATTGGTCCTCTCTCTATAATCAATCACACTGGAATGCAAGATCTGAATGCTGTGTTGTTTGGTAAAGTTTGGCTCTAGATCTGAACTCTGTGGCATGGGGCTCATCTGCAGTTTAGATTAAAAACCAAAAATTAAGAATATTTCAGTCACTTCTGCTAACAGGAATGAGCCTCACAAGAATTACCTGAACATGCGTTTAAGATTGTGTTATGCCATTTTCATTTGATTAACATTGACGTCCCCTACAAGAGTCAGTGCAATTATGGCCGTTTAAATATGGTCCTTCAACCATGTACTTAATTGTGGTTGGGAGAAAGTGTGGCTTATCCAAACACACGTACAGTTCCATTCTGAGCTTAGAGTTATGCATCATGTTAAAAGGACAGGGACTGAAAATGTTATTTTCATTGCACTGTGGTTCTTTCACATTAATAAATCACACCAGAGTTAGAATGCATATAAGGGAGCGCACAAGACTAAAGGCTCCCAAAAGGCAAACAGAACTATCATTAGTGGATTGTAAATTATGAATTTCAGGCTGGGATTTTCCATTCATACTCAGAGTATGAAGCTTTCTGCCCCCTAAACAGTACAAAACAAAGTTATTTGTAAAAAGTGCAATGCCCCAAATTTGTTTCCAGTCATCTTAATTTAATAACTACCATACTAGAGAAGGAAAAGTCTGTGTGCTTGTATTAGAAAAGCAAAAAAAGAGTACATATTATTATTATGATATAGATAATTCATGATGGATGGGATAGTGTGATAGAACGGTTTTATTAGTAAGTCCAGTTACTATTAAGGATGTAAAAATCGGTTAAAAAAGTTGACTGGTTAAATGATTAAAATTATATCGTTTAATTAACCATTAACCGAGGTAGCTCTGGCATAGCGAGGGCTGGGCCCGCTTCGGATGGCAGGCCTGGTGCGGCTGTGTCCCACCGGCCGTCCTGGCGTGACTGGGGCTGGGGTCCTACTGGCGTGGCATGGCTGAGGTCGCTCTGGCCAGCTGCAGCCGGGGCATGGGTGCCTGCTGCCTGCGCGGGGCCGCCAGGGTTAACGGTTAAGGTTGGTTACCCGGTAAGCCTAATGCTTACTGGTTAACCTTTTACATCCCTAGTTTCTATCATTTGAATATTTAAGTAGGGTGAAATCAAGTACTTGAAACCCATGTGTCAGGAATTTCACCTGCAAATAACTGTAGGCAAAAAACTGTACCCCAAATTATTTGTGCCCTTTTATCCCTCTCCCCCCTCTCAATAACAAAACAAACCAAGTGCAGAAACAACGAGCAGATAATTTGTTGCATTGAATTTTATAAAACTCTACAATTACCTAAAAAACGTTTTCTATATATCAGTGTCATAATTTTAAGGTCTAATATCTTGGAAGGGACTGAGCCTGAAACAAACACCTTTTATCTGTGGAAAGGGATAACAGCTTTCCTCAGGGATAACAAACCCATTTCCAGCCTTGAAGACTTATGAGATACTGGACATTAAACCTGTTGCTAGCTCAGGCCTCCATCTTAGAGCAGTGTAATTGTGGGAAGAAATAAATTTGGGAGAAAGGAGGAAATATTTCTCTGTGATATATATATATTTTGATGGACAAAAGGGGAATGGCAGCTGTGTGAAAACTGCACACATGTTTGGAATATAAGTAGTAGTTATGGAGGCAGATAGATTAGTGGGTAGTGTCAGCTAGGCAGTCACATGGTGCTGCAATTTCTCACAAGGATCTCATCACATCATATGTAGCATAAATGCTGACATGCACGTATTCTATCCAAGTCCAACGTAAGCTTTACTTTTATAGACTAGGCTAGCCACAGAAACTGTTAGCTTCATTTGTAGTGCTGTACTTGGCAACTGGAGATCAAAGCAGGGCTGTGTTTAGAAAGAAGCATTGCATGTTCAAAATCTTTTATCAAAAAACCCTAGTTTTACTGGACAGTAGTGAATTAAAGGCAAAGAGTTGGTTTAATTTTAATTATGGGCAGGCACACCTGACCAACAGCTAGGGTAGGCAAGACAAGGCTACAAGCCCTGAGCAAGAAGCCTACAGTACCTCATATTCAGATTCCAATGTTATCTTATTCTTTCTGATTCTTTCTTCCAAAGCTGGATCCATCTGTAAGGCAAACGGAAAAGACATCCAAAATGTTTATTTATAAAATATACCCAAATTTGAAAGAAAAAGAAATTTCTCAATCTTCTTTTAAAAATAAACTAAATGCATTGCCCAGATACCATGGTGATGGGTGCAGTATATGAACCCGAATAGAACAAAGGTCAACAGATTCTAGCTCTTTCAGACTAGCCGGGGGGGGGGGGGGGGAGGGACTGCCCTCCCCCTCTCCTTCATTGTTCTCCAAGTACAATAAAGTAACCTTTATGTTACTTAATTTTGTATTACCTGAATTTTATTTTACTCTGCCCATAAATTTTCAATGTACCACTGTTGTTTATATTGCAATGCAGGGGGCGGGGGGGGGCTTCACAGCTAGATGCTAAGAGTATTAGTACTCAGGAAGCAGTTGAAGTTTTGATACTGGAAAGGTAAATTCCTCATTTCCCACTCCAGCAACACTGTATTAGCTGTCCCATTGCCAACTCCCCCATTCCAATATCTTCTCTTCTGTCAAACAAATGTGGAAATGATAATAATAGTCAATACACATTAGACTGATGTTTTTGCTCAGATGAACAGCATAGGTCCATGGAAATGTCCTAAAATGGTTTGAGTTCTTTCAGAACTAACCCAGAGAGGTGTTATGGGCAACTATTCCTCTGCCCTGAAAGTGCGCTCTTGCCTTGCTGCAAGGCTCTCTCTATCCTTTCCCCAATATTATTCAATATCTGTATGAAGACACTGGGGGAGCTGGTTACACACTGAAAAATGTCAGCAATATACAGATAATACCCCACTGTATGTCTCCTTCACTTCACATGTAAACAGGACCAACTCTCTGCATTCCTAATCCTTAGCACAGATCAACACTTGAATGAAGAGCAGCTGGCTAAAACTGAACCCAGGCATGACAGCATTGGTAAAGGTAGGTGCTCTGAGCACCTGTCTCCTCCATAATATTTCCCTTGATCTAAGGCACCTAACTGCTGACTGTAAAGTCAATATATAGCCTTGGGGTCCTCTTGCATATCTAAGTTCCTAAAGATGCTCAGACAGCTGTGGCTGTGAAAAATCATCATTACCATCTGTGAATGGCTAGAAGACTTAGGACATGTCTACACTACAGCTGCTACAGTGGCACAGCTATGGAACTGCAGCTCTGTCACAGTAGTGCTGTAATGTAGAAGCTTTCTACATCAACGGAAGGAGTTTTTCTGTGACACAATACATCCACCTCTCTGAGAGGCAGTAATGAGGTCAACAGAAGAATTCTTCCATCGACTTAGCTGCATCTACGCCGGGAATTAGGTCAACCTAACTACAGTGCTCAGAATTTTTCACAGCCCTGTGGGACGTAGCTAGATTGAGCTAATTTTTAAATGTACACCAGGCCTTAGTCCCCTTGCATGAGTCACAGATCTAGCTACTGTAATACACGTATTTGTGACTTCCAGACTCTACTGCAGCTCATTACATCTGGGCATTAAGCCAGACAGACTAAAAAAGCTAACCTGGTACAAAATGCAGAAGCCTGTCCGGTGAGCAAAACAGGCTTCTGTGAAAAGCTCCGCTCTCCACACTGCGGGAGAGAGAACTCTCTCTGGAGCAAGAGGAAAAAACCTCTGGACCTCAGGGCTAAATGCAAACTTCTCCTTAGTGTCCTCACAATAGCTCTTCACATAGTCCGCACACACACAGGGGAAGGTGGAAATTAATTCTTATGCTTTTCAAGCTTTTCAAGCTACTTCTCCAGATGGAGGAGGGAGCGGGGACTGGGGGGCACTCAGATATCATGGTGGTGAGTCCCATTATAGTACCTACATAGTTCAATCTGTGTTTTTATTTCAATTACAACAGGCAAAATGTACCTATATGATTATTTTTGTTTTGACTGTTACCATAAACATCTCAATATCCCCTATTTATCTGATTTATTTTACTTATGTCTAGTGATTCTAGTTCATATGGCTACATTTGTGAAAACTCAGGGGATCACTGCTGCTGCTCCACTCCAGGCCCCCCTCTGCTCTCAGCCCACTTCCTTGTGCATTAATTCCCCTCCACCTGAGGAAGGAGAGGGGAGCATCTAAGTCTAAGACACAGAAATCCTGCAAATTTGTAACTAGCTTGACTCAGTCACAGCAATGTTGCCCAAAATAAACCTGGTCAGCCAAAGAAGCCACCTGAAATTGCTCAAGCAGATGTGCAACAGGTTGCCCCCTTAGGATGCCACCTGATGTGCTGAGATACCACTGATACCATTATGCCAGCCTGGGTACCCTTTTTACCTGTCTTGCTTGAGCCAAGCTATGCTACTAAGCCTCCTCCAGCACACACACAGGCAGGGCCACACCAAACTGCAGGATGAAACAGACACTGAGATCAGTTCTGGGAAGGCTCAGCGTAAGGGACTTGCCCCAGCACTCAGGTGTCCCCCTCCCTTGGGGTGCAGACCCAAAGATAGGTTATGAAATCCGCTTCCTCCCTCAATGTGGAGGAAGGTATGCACAGCCAAGAAATAAGTTTATTAACTACAAAAGGTGAATTTTAAGTGAATATAAGAGATAAAAGTCAGAACAAAGCAGATTACTGAGCAAATAAAATGAAATACGCACGCTAAGCTCAATATACTTAAGAAACAGGTTACAAAATGTAATTTCTCACCCTAGATATTGTCACAGGTAGATTACAGAAAGTATTGAAAGGCAGCTGCACTGGCCTGCAGCTGGAGATTTCAGGTATATCCACTCTCAGACCGGACGCCCTCCCAGCCTGGGTTCAACCCTTCTCCCGTCAATTCAGTTCTTGCTTTCAGGTGTTTTTCACTGTCTCTTTGGGTGGGGAGGCAGAGGAGAACCACGATGATGTCACTCCCCTGCTTTATATAGCTCTTGTGTATGGCAGGAACCCTTTGTCTCCCAGTGGAAGAACAAGTGTTCAGATACAGAAATATCACAGGCATACGAATTGGATAATCACATTCAGTAAATCATAACTTTTCCAATTATATCTTACATGAGCCATCTTGCATATCTCAGTTATGTCATATTCATATAATAAGCATATTTTCAAAAATATGTAGTGAAACGTCACAAGATGTTATTCTGTTAACGCTCACTGGCAAGTACACAGAAAACGCTTCTTCATTATAAATAAGAATTTCATTCAGTACCTTAATTAGAGAGACTGGCTAGATCCTATTCTGAGCACACACACTGTGTGTGGCTCCTGTGGAGCCCATGCTGACCCACTGAAGTTATAAAAGTTGTTTTGTAGGAAGATTCCCAGCAATGACAATAAAATAAGTATTCCCTCTTACCTTTTCCATTTTTTTGTTTCCCACACATTTACCCAATCCAGCAAAGTTGAATGATTCTAGACTTCAAGGATTCTGCCCTACTTTCTCAACTCCTGCTTTCAAGACCCCACATTTCAGTCACCAGGTCTAATCAGAAGAGTTAAACAAGAATACATGTCTTCGGAACCAATGCATTGATCCTGATGGCTGACCATGGAGAAAACGTCTCTTACAAAGCTCCACTTCCCACGACTCCAAGTCTCAGTGAACCACATCTGCAACATTATGGAAAGGAAAGAAAGACAGAATGGGCATATCTTCCCTCTAATAAAGCATTCATTAGTACATGCTACAATTATGAACAGCATGTCAGCCATAACCAAGCACCATCAGAGAACATTTAGAGTATGGCTATGACCAGGAAAGTAACTATGTCAAAATGACAATGGCAACTCCTTACTCTATAGATCTCCCTGTAAGCAGTCAGACCTCCCCATTTCACAGACACAAACATAGTTGTATTTCCATTATCCTTGCCTAGCCAATACAGTACAGTGAGCTGGAATCTATTCTACTGCAACATCAGCAAAAGAATCATCAGCTGAATTTTGAGGGCAGAATCTTGATGCAGACAAAGCTCTGCTAAATTCTCAGATCCCAGTTGGAGTTTGCAGCACTGGCCTGGCAGCTTGAAAATGTTCTTTGGTTTATAAAATGGACTCATTTGAAATGGAATCACTGAGAGAAACTAACAATCAAATCCAGGAGTCCATCCTTCCACACCTGGATAAGGAAGGGGGCGTGCACAAAGGTAGCTATGCAACATTTTTGCTTTCTTGACCTCGGAGGCTGCTGTGCATTACACCAGCTGACCAGAAGCCCCTATGGGCCATTCTAGTGGCCAGAGATTGTCAAGGTGCAGGAAGAACAAGACTGTGTCCAATGCACCATGGGTTAAGAGGCACAGTGTTCCTATGCCACTGAAGAATTCCTTCAGATCCTCAGGGAGTCCTTTCAGATGGGTTTAAGGTAGAAAGCAGGCTTTGTATTTTACTTTTCTAGGAAGTATTTTTTTAAAATGCCTGTAGTGGGGCGGCTGCCCCACTCCTGGTGAATTTAGGCTGCAGCAGGCCAGTGGGCCTGCGCAGACGGGCAGCCAATCAGGGCCAGGCTCAGCCCTATAAAAAGGCTGCTCAGGGAGAGAGCAGGCAGTCTGTCCCAGGCCTTTGAGAGGGGAAGGTCTGTCTCCAGAGGTGGGAGACTAGCACCGTGGACAGTACAGTGCTGGCCAGGTTCGGGGAACAAAAGGGAGCTCTAGCCCATAGCCTGCCAGGCTGCAGACCCTGAAGGGAAGGGCCTAGTGGGTGCAAGGGCCGTAGGGGAAGCGGCCCAGGGAAGAGGACAGACGAGGGGAGAGAAGGAGGACAGCAAGGGTGCCGCCAGAGGGTCCCTGGGCCGGGACCCAGAGTAGCGGGCGGGCCTGGGTCCCCCCCTTTCCCCCTTGCAGTACACCCAGCCATTGGCCATAGGAAGCGGCCATCATAGACTACACCAGATCCCTGACAAGAGGGATTAGACTTTGGGGTGTGTGGTTGGACATGGCGGCTGGGGCGTAGAGAGACTGCTGATCAACCCCCCTCGGAAGGGGGTGTGGATGGACTGAGGGGCACTGCCGGAGGGCAGTGGTCCGGAAAAGGACGCT